AACAATGAAATTTTTAATTAAATGCTTTACCATAAAATAAAAGTTGAAAATAATCCAAATGATTGATGCACTAACATTTTCGTTATTAATTTTTTCAGCCAAACAATGATAAACAGTGTCATATCGATATATTACGGAGCACGCTTTGCTACAATGCGCCTAAAAGTATGCAAACAAAGACAATTGCGCCGTATGTGAACGCACATGTAAAAGTATTGGGTAAATGGCGAAAATATATCAACGGCAACACCCACAGTGGCGAAAAGCAATAATAATAACTGTAACTGGTAATGCAACAATAAAAAAAGGCAACAACAACAACCATAGTTACTCAACATCAAATAGCGGTAAGTAATGTATGCACATGTGTATATATGTATGTATGTACATATATGTACACACTGCCTTTAAAACGCCCCCATCCCGTACACAACCGCTCAACTGCACAGCATGTGGCAAATTAAAGCCGACGCAGCCGTTGGCACCAAAATTTAGTTTAATACCCGTACGCGCCATGTTTCTAATGCCATGTGGAGCCGAGTGGCGCTCCTTGCCTTGCCTTGCTTTGTGTTATTCGGGAGCCACTGCCGCGAATGCCTGCCCGCTGCCACCTAACCTACAAGTGCACGATATGATTGGCAGCAGGATTCCCAATGGGTGGCACCAACGCAACACAATGTAGTGTATGGGTATGTGCGTACACTTTCACTGTAGTCAGCCGCAATTGTTGACATTACAACATTGGCTTATGCCCTTATGTTGTTACTATATTGTTGTTGTTTTTGTTGTAACCGAGCCCTGGTTAAAAATGTTAATTTTAAAACATATTGGCCAAGAGAAAGAGAGCAAGAGAGAGGGAGCAAGAGAGAGAGAGAGTAAGAGAGGAGGGAGAAGAAGCGAGTGTGAGGGAGGTAGTGAGAAGAGAGAGTGCTGTAATAAGGACAATAATGTGTTGTGGTTGCTGTTTGTGTCGCTGTGTCATATTTATACAATTTCTTGGTGTTTTGTCACTGTGGCTTTTTACATTATTGTGTGTATGCATTTTCGCATGTGTATGTTATATATATGTATGTGTGTGTTGGTGTTGGTGGATTTTATATGATGCGCTTTTAGGGAGTTGAGCGTTAAATAGATAATGATAAATGTGTTGAATGTAAGTAGGGAAAACAGCAAAAACAACGCGCTGTTTACAAATCAGTAAAATGTAGGAGGAGAGGGTGGGATCTCTTTCGATTTCTACAGGCAGGCGTATGGATCACTGACAGCCTGTAATGCGGTGGTGGTACGCAATCACGGGCGGCCTTGGAGCTTACTAGAGCAGAAACGGGAGAAAGTAAATAGTACATATGTATTCATGTATGGCCTATGTGTGTTTAGGCACCGCTGCTATCGGCATAAACAAGTGTGTGTTTCGACACTGATTCGAGTTTAGTAATAGACGCTTAAAATTTAATTTTGATTGCAAAGTGTTAGTCGATATATTGTAGGATTATAAGTAATGATGAATCAAATTAAGACATTACAAACGCTTACAGTGCGTTAGAAAATTAATCTGCTTTGTATTAGCAAAAATAACAATTTTAATATACCAAAATATATAGGAACAGGCTTTAAAATGTGAAAATAATAATTTTTGCCAGTTTATAGTCGTACATTTATTCTATTACAATATTTTTTTATATTTTAATTATTATTTTTTATTTATTAATTATTTGTAAATTTTTTTTAATTTTTTTATTTTATCTTTTAATTAAATTTTAATTGCTATATTTTTTAATTAATTTTAGTATTTATTTTTAATTTTAGTATTTTTTAATTTTAATATTTTTCAATTTGTAATCTTTTTAATTTTAATCTTTTTAATTTTAAATCTTTTGTTTTTAATTTTAAATCTTTTTGTTTTTAATTTTATCTTTTTTATATTTTAAATTTTTAATTTTAAATTTTTTTAATTTTAATCTTTTTTAATTTTAAATCATTTTTATTTTAAATCATTTTTATTTTATATCATTATATTTTTAATTTAGTCGCTTTTTAATTTAAAAATAATTTTCTTTAAATTTATGTATAAATTTTATCAATTTATGAATCTTTTTTTTTTAATTTATTAATATTTTTCTTAAGTTTTAATTAATTTTTTAAGTTTTAATTTTTTTTTTCAATTAATTAATTAAATTCTTTTAATTATTAAACATTTTTTAATATAAAGTGAAAAGACTAAAATTAAAAATAATAATTGTTTCCAGTTTGTAATTTGTTTATTAATAAAATGTTTTTTTTTTCATTATATTTTTATTTTTCACAATTTTTAAATTTGTTTTTTTTTTATTTTTTCATAATGTGAGCTGCAATTTTTCATTGTCAATTTCATTGGATTTTTAAGTTTCCACAATTTGTTTCAATTTTAGTCTCATTCATTATCTTTTTAAATCGAATTCTTTAATATTCTTTTTAATATTATTTAAAACTGTTTTCAAGAATTTTTAGCAACTAACAATTTTCTATAATTTATTTTATACTAATTTTATTTATACATAAAGTGAAAAGATTAAAATTAAGAAAGTTTATATTTTTTTTATAACATAAAATTTAATTTTTCCATATTTTATTTATTTTTGTATTATTTTACTTTTCACTTTAATAATTTGACTTCAAATTTTACTGATATTGTTTTCTATGAGGTTTTAATATTCTTTTTTATCGCTTCTTTAATATATAATATATTTTAAATATTCTTTTACAATTAAAATATATTTTAAAAATTGTGAATTACTTCCACATTTAATAATTTTTATATTTAATACTAATATTATCAAGATTTTGTTATAAATTATTTATTTAAAAATATATGTTACCTTTCTTTTTTTAATTTGAAATTTATTTTTTTAATTCGGTTTGATATGTATATTATTCTTTTAAGCTTTCATTTTTTGTTTAACTTTATCTTTGTTAATATTTTATTTTAACTTTTTATATATATATGTACATACATACGGTGTTTCAGTTTATTTTCTATACATTTTTAAATCTTTTACTGGCTTTCAGCATATTTTAAATATAAATTCACTTTGTTCACCCTTTAAAGAAGTTATTTATAATTTTATTTTACAACCACAACGATAAAATTTATCTCAAAGTTATAGTTAAATAGACTCAATAATGTTGATTTTTCATAAATTTTAAGTTGACAAAGTAAATATTAAATGAGTTTTTGAGCGCAAAGAAATGTGATAAGAAAACTAGACGAAGAGCAAGCACAACAAGAAAGACGTCAATCAAAATTAAAACATATGTACATGTATGGAAAATTTGTTATAAAAAGAAGTCGAAAGGCCAATACAAACAAAGTAAATAATAAAGATAATACAATATATTAAATGAAAAACTAAAAATAAAAAAATAAAAATTTATAAAAAATAACAAAAATATATATGTATATATAAAAGAAATAAACAAAAATTAAATTTAAAAAAAATGTATGTAAATAAAATAATTTAATAAAAAAAAAACATGTATGTAAATAAAAAAAATTAAATTAAAAAAAAAATGTATGTAAATAAAAAAATTTTTAAATAAAATAAAAATAAATAAACACAAAATATTAAAAAAAAAATTTTAACTAAAAATTATATTAATAAAAAAATTATTAACTAGGAAAATATATTATTTTATAATTCTAATTTTTTCACGTTATATTTAAATAAAAAATAGTTTAAATAAAAAAGTTTTAAAATTAATATAAGGAAAATTAAAGAATCGGATTTAAAAAAATAAAAAATTAGACAAAAATTTAATTAATAAATGGAAATTTAAAAAAAAAATGTTTAAAAACTTTAAAAAAGTTAAAAAATAATAGCAAAATAGAGAATTCAAAAAAAATGTAAGATAACATAATAAAAAGGAACAAGTCCAAAGTCTAAAACTTAAAACTATAAATATACATATAATAAAATAATTGTGAGCATCTTAGCGAATTTATTTTTATACCAAATTTTTTTTATAAAGCTTTAAAATTAAATAAAATAGGTGCACCTATATGAAAACTTTACATAGATTTGTATGTACAACAGTAACTAGTACAAAAGCGCACTTGCAATGTTAAAAGTGCATTCGACTCGGGTTAAAGTTGAACTAACCTTATTTGAAGACAAAAGAAAAGTGCAAAAAGTAATGTGTGTATTCAACTCAAGTATAAAGAAAATACCACATAACCAAATGCATACATACATACATACATATGTGCATAGATACACATGCAAAACAAAAATGCATGTAATCCTTGCTTGTTAAGCAAAGAGGGTCGCCGAGTTTAAAACAACAATATCAAAACTTCAAACAAAAACAAAATTTACAAGAAAATTGCGCCAAAGTTTACATGCATATCAAATGCAGCATGAAAAACTTGAAAAATGGTTGATAAAAAATCACAGCAGGATCAAATTGAATTCATTTCGAGAATTTTCGAAAATCTTTGCTTGCATTTGATCGCATTTTAGTGCCGCTTCAAGCGCACTTTTTGACTTTTAATGCGCTTTTCGCTTTACTTATACACTTTTACTTTGTTAACTTCTTTTATAACCAGCTTAGCGACATTTAACAACAAAAATTTCGTGCTTTCCTGCACACTTATCGCATTCGTAAGCAATAAGAAGCGCAAGTTAAAGCGCAGCAGCAGTTAACTTTTTATCTGCTTTACAGATAAGTGTTAGAAAAACAATCAGACTGCACAAAAAAACGAGAAGTGTTGGCAAACTAGCTTGTTTAACTTTTCCACAATATGCGTCTGTTCGTGGCACGATAAAAGTAGTCGCTAAGCAATAGTGTGCGGCATGACCACAAAATGTTGTTCAAGTTGTAGTTGTAATATGTATATTTATTTTGAAAACAAAACTAACGGTAAAAAAATTGATTTAAAGCTTGTTTTCTTCTAAAGCTTTTAAGGTTATTCGCACATAAATTTTTAATAAATATTTTTAAATTTTCAAATTTTAGCCACTCACCTTTTCAATGTTGTACTTTTCGAGGGCTTGTGTCGCACAATCAACAGCATCCTGCTGCATTTCTTCGCTCATGTCGGCGTTTTTAATAACTGCTTTGCGATCTGACATTTTGTTTGTGGTTTTTTTAAGTTTCTTCTAATAAAAATTAGCAATAAATCTGCAAATAAACTGAAATGGTAGAGAAAATCATTAAAATTAGTTTGGAAAATTTAGTGAATTTATTAAGGTTATAAAGAAGTTTAATAATTATTGTATAATTTAAACAATTATATAAATATATATTATACTATATACTAACAAATTATCGGAAAATCTTAAACAACGCGTAAAATGCAGTTATATACAGGCGATAAGTAGAAAATTTTCAAATTTGCGCATTTGACGTTTTTTCAAACGACTTCATGCCACTAGTTATCTTATACACCGTCAATGCGTACGCAAATAACGCTAGGCAATCACTGTCATAAGTACATACATACATACATACATGCAAACTTATGTATGTACAACCTCATATCGTTCACTTTCAAATATTTGCATCTCACGGACTTTTAAACAATCAAAAGAAAATGGCACATTTAAATGGCAGCGACTCACGCGAATTTGTGCTAAGCCCCGTCCGATAAAGCATACCTTGTGGCGCAATAGCTATTTGTTAATATCGCCTAACATCACACACGTACATATCAGCAAGCGCGCTTCGCGTACGCTGATAGCATGATACATGCATATATGGCTTTATTTTTCTTAAGACACTGCAATTGAATATGTAATTCTGCTGTTAGAAGTCAAAATGCTGTGCTAGTTTTGCTTACGCTTGGGAAATTAAATATTAACAGGCGTATTTAGATATTAGTGAAGTTTTAAAAAGAATTATTTCGATTTACTGCCGAAATTGATTAGAGTGACGTCAATAACAGAAGCCCGTTGCGTTGCATATTTCAAGGCGCAGTATACATGAATCATGAGAAATCGTTGCATAATTCAAGGCGTTGGCACTTATTTATACTTTTTTACTGTGATTAGTTGTTAAATGCGTCAATTTAACAGTTTTATGATTGAAAATCAAAAATTTATTGATTGGTGTTTTAAAAATAGCATAGCATACTTAAAGGCGTAGAAAAAATACAAATTTACACATATTTCCCTTTAGCAGGAGTAATATTAACACACGGGCTGAAAACCGGGCCTAACAAAATTGACTTCATTCGAGCGAAATTTCTTACTGTCGGGCATTTTTTTGAGGTCTACGAACAACCAACAATCGCTGGTAGCCAAATCTGCAGAATAAAGTGGATGCGGCCGTAATTCAAAGTGCAATTCATGCATTTGTGTCATTGTTTTGATTGGCTTGTGACACGGTGCGTTGTCTTGATGAAACAAAATTTGTTTCTTTGTCATATGCGCTCGTTTTTTACAATTTCGGACTTGAAACGTTCCAATAAATCCGTTATATAATAGTCACAATTTATTGTTTTTCACTTCTCAAGTTAGTCGATGCATATTACACCTTTCATATTCCAAAATACCGAGGACATAACCTTTCCAGATGATTGTTGTGCTTTCGAGCGCTTTGGACGAGGGTCACCAGCTGCTGTGCACTCAGATGATGATCGTTTTGATTCCGTAGTGAAGTGATGGAGATCCATTGTCACATAGCGATGCAAAAATTCCGGTTTGTTACGTTTAAACATGGCCAAATACTGCTGAGGAGCATCAACACGTTGCTGTTTTTGGTCAACATTCAGCAAACTCGGCACCGCTCATGCAATATAAAGCCAACACGTTCTTTTAAAATCCTCACAATATCAGCTTTATTCCGAAACTTTACTTTCCGAGCCTTCAGAACGATTTTGTAGATTTAATTCATGTTTCTGGTGTTACAGCCTCATTTGTACGCCCATTGTGTTTTGCATCATAGGTGTCTCTACGACCACGTTTTATGGTGGTTTCTGATGGTGTGGAATCACCATAACACTTTTCAAGCCGTTGCTTAACTTGTCAACTACGTATTTTTTCCCCATCAAGAAGCAGTGTAAAATTAAAAATTGTTTATCATCCATTGTTTTTAAAATAACAAAAGTAGCGTCACTCTTAGCACAATAACTCGCAAACTAATGAATATGTCATGAAATTTTAACAGCTGTCTTTTGCAGGTTAGTACTAACTGAAAATGAGGTGAAGTTAATAAAACTAGCGCCATCTATGTGTGAGAACCGGTAATTTTCATAATTATTATAAAGACTTGAGTTTTCAGAAAAAATTAAAAATCTATCTCATTTAACCATAGCACATTATTAGACGAAGATTAAAAATCCATACATAAAATTTCACTAAAATCACGACAGTTCCACGAATTGATACTACTTGAACTATAATGTGTTCCGCATGCAGGGCAAAACGAAAAGAAAACTAAAGCGATAAATTCTCCGAAAACAGTAGATATGTAAAACAATTGAATTAACATAAAGCACAAGCGGATATAAACTGTGCAATAGTGTATACTACACATACCAGACAGAAGGGATACGTATATACATACATACATATGTACATACTGCTAGACTAAATTGCAGACTTTACTGTTTTAAATAGGTCAGTTAAGGCGGCTCTAAACGGAAAATTACTAAAATATGCTTTTGAAGCGGCTTTTTAATGTTTTAGCTTATAACAACACACACATTTGTACATACATACATATATAAGTGAGAATTTGTGTTGTAAAATCAACCCTTGGCACTCCTTTCAAAGAAAGCATTCAATCAATATGAAATAGAAATTCCGCATTCTTTTATTTCTACGGGAGCTTTAGAAATTTTGCTGCTGCCAAAGGACATCCATTATACCATCTAACTCTCTATCGGCATTTCAATAATTCTATAGTGAAAAAATGGCATACTAAGAGAACAAAAAGCTAAATGTGAACCATGAAATGCCTCAAAATGATAATGAATTAACCATATACCCATGCGCGTGTCAGCAATAGACAGCATATGGCCAGCAGCAACCCCATTCATGGGCAAACAGTGTAGATAAAACAAACAAACAAAAAAAAACACATAAAATAAAAGTAAAGTAAATGACTAACGAGCAGAAAGGCAGTCAGCAATTCGATTAGATGAGGGCAATTAGTGAGCACAATTGATAATGAAAGTGGTGGCGGGGTTAAATAAGGAAATGTAAAGAAATGTCGCAAGGTAAGACACAATGTGAGGCCACAACAACAATTACATGCAGTGTTATTCTTTTTTTGTTGCATTCACATTTTTTTTGTTGTCATTGCAAATGAATGGCAGGTTAATTGCATTATAGGCGTTTGCACGCAGACATGAAGCGCGCCAAACTATACGAGGAAATCAGAAATAATGTGAAAATTGCAATACAAAATTTGCACCAAATGAAAAATTGTAGAATTGTATCAATATCTGTTAGAATGCCTTGAAGTATGCAATGACTTCGTTGTTGTTGTATTACAATAACACAATAAATTAAAAAAATTTTCATACACTTATACAAGTATACTATATACATATTTAAATTTAATTACTACTATCCAGAATTTAATTCAAAGCGCCTCAATTTACTACACAAGATGTAGAAAATGACGTTTAATATATCACTATCATATTAAATTTCCCAAATTAAGAAACAAAACATTTATGCAGTCACGATTTCTTAAGTTTTGAAATTTTTTAAACAAAACAAAATATAATGTATACGCTGTGTTGGGCATATTGCGCTAACTAACATAAACAATAACAAACTGAGAATAAATATATGACAAGTTCCATTAAGAGAATCCAAACACATGTCATACTTTCTTTAAAATTAAATATTACATTTTGCTTATTAAATGTACACAATTGAATTATCGAATGAATGAACGCCAGCTCTGCAATGAGGTAACACACAGCAATGCACCAATAGCAAAATACAATTCAACGGCAAAGATCAAAATGAAATGTCAAGCGAACTGCCGGCAAAAATACATATACGAATGTGTCTGCTGTTGATCAACGGCAACAAAACTGAGCAAAACCAACACAATCAGTGCTGTCAAGCACATTCAATCACATTCACGCACATTGCACGGACAGCCAGCGCTCAATACCCGGGCTGTTTAATAAATGCATATACCGACACGCTGTAACAAAACGTTTGAACGGCTGTATGACAATTTGTCGTTGAAATTATAAATTGTGCTTTATCAAAACAGACAGACACATGATGCTAGGACAGCTGACATAGCTGCATTGGTGTAGGTTAAGACGTTAACAAAACAAAATGTGAACAAACGTAAACAAATGGAAAGTAAAAGTGTGCAATGCATTTGAATGAATATAAAGTGCTATTAAGAAATAAAATTTTAAATTATGCTATAAAAAGAGAATTGCAAAGTTTTGAAAGCAACTGCAGCAAATAAACTACCTAATGAAGCTTTGGTACATATGAAAATATTAGCGCCACTAGTGAGAGCATCATTTAGTTTTATTTTAAACAATTGAATTTTATTTGATTTAAATTATAAAATGGGAATATTAAAGTATCCAAAATTTTAACTTCCCAGCTTGCAAAAACAAATTATACGCACACTTCAAATATTTGACATACATAGGGGAATGCTGAAATGACGTGTTGTCGTCGCCTATCCAATATAAACTGTGTAGGCGGCAGGCACGTAAATATGTCAAAAGATGTGTTTTTTATAAAGGTTTAGTGTGGATTACTAGCTTGTGCTTTTTTCCCCAAATGTTTCTGTACAAAATTACTTTTTGAAAGGATTTCAAGCTTTTTATCGCCTCTTTATCCTAAACGGAAGTGTTAAAAATATTTACCATATATGCAACTATCGCTTCTATAAAAAAAAAACTATGATATATGACAACAACAAAACTATATAAAGTGCAACGCTGTAGACAATTTTTAACGCCCTCATTTTACTGACAGCTTGTTACTATTGTTTTCATTTCTTCGTAGTATTTTTCCCTTGCAAACAAATCACACTATGTTACCTTGTAACATTCACTTGCATTCAGCTGTGAAATGTCAGTTAATTATAGTGTGAAATTTCTCAAAATTGTTTTCTACATTTTTACCAAAGCAATTTTCTTTTTGCGCCAAATATACATATACTCGTACTTATGTATGTATAGTACTTGTTTGTAGAATCATGCCCTGCATGCATATGTAGGTATGTAGAAACGTTTACATATATTTATGGCTGTCGGCTGTCTGTGCAATTTGAAGCTCTGGTGATATTGCACACACTTCATTTTAGTTTTGTATTTGTGTGCAATATAAATGATGTTTGCAAATTGTTTTGTTTTGGAAACCGTAATATATGATTTATGCCAAGCCATGTGTTACTAGCCATTTTTAAAGTTATTTAAAAGTTTTCGATTGTAGGATTTGATACTGCTTCCTCTAATAAAAGTTTTTTTCTAATATAATTTTAAACAAATTATATTACGAAATCTTGAATCGATCGAAGTAATATACTTTTCATTATACGTAGTTGAACTATTTTTATACGAATTTATTGAAGTCAGCTAAAAGTAGTGGATACCTACAGCGTCAATAAAAGCAACAATATTTTAGAGTAACCATCAGACACATGTGGAATGGCCAATAGCACTATACTTAACTGTGTATTTAAACTTCGGGTAGTTCCAAATGTTACCAATTTTGTCAATAAGCTTCTATTTTAATCAAACATTACGTCAGTATCGAATAATTTCGGCTATACAGTGGTTTAGCATACTCCATATAAACACACCAACGAATATTTAGCCGATGACCATTTTAAGTCATGCCAAAGTTTCTGAGCTCTTGATACTGGATTTAGCAAAAATAAAATTGTTGTTTTTTATACCAGTATGTAAATTTGCTTTGCTTCCGCTAAGCACGAGTATAGTACAAAATGAAACTGGTATGCCATACGACATAAGCTTCTTCTATTCTTACTCATGATTTACACGTTACTTCACTAGATGTAAGGCGTAGAATCTACACATGAGCACACATATTTCCAAAAATGTAACCTTTTTATTAAATAAAAAATAGTATTTAACATGTTGAGTTTCCGCTAAAAAACATGTTGTTTCTCGAACTTTCATTTTGTTGCTAATTATGAAATCAGATTTTGCAAAATCATTAGCGTACCACCTGCTAGTTGGGTGCATGAGTTAATGTCACCACTACCACCCTCTCTTAACCAAAAATGCTACATTTGCAACAACAATAACGTCTGATAGTCGACCATCGTCCGCTCAGCACCATCCTGTGTCAAAGATATACCGAAAACAACATTTGCCGCACCAACCGTCAATCTTCACATTTTAATGAAAAACATTTACGGCAATTTAGTATTTCGTTTTTTTTTTTTACCAAGACATTTCATACAATTTTCACACTTTCTGTAGATTTACAGCGCTAAATTTTAACTTACCTGTACAATTTCTGCTACTTGTGCTAGTTTTTAGCAAACAAATCTGATTTTTCAGCTTTTTACTTGGCTTTTCGGCACTATTTCTTCTAGTTTAGATTTTTTTCCTCTAAAATTTTGCTTATCTTCTTTCACACACTCGATGAATTTCTCAATGAAAACTATGTTTTCTTAAACCGTTTCAACGAATTTTCTTTGTGGAAATTTCAATACTTCAGATAAACGAATATATAAAATAAAACAGTTCAAATCAAAATTCCTTTGTATAGGTACTTTTCAAAATATATTTGGCTATACAATTTCCACCAAATAAATTCCACTCACGCTTGACGTATGTGTTGTTTGCACGGCTTTTCGCGGTACTCTGCTATTTTACTATACGGCGAATGCTAAAATGCAGCTGCAAATACGCTCTCTTCTATGTTAATGCGGAAAGAGAGAGCATATGCAAGAGCAGGAGAAAAGATGACGAGGCAGCTTCTAGCAGGCGGCTTCTATCAACTTCGTGTATTGAGTATATTTTTAACAAAACAGTGTTAGTGCCGTTTCAGACAGGGATGCAAAAGAGTCTGATCTTTTTCAAATTTTCTTTTGGTGTCGCTCTGGGCATTCACACGGTCAAAAAGAGTCCAGCAACTCGAGTCTAGTTTTTCTGCATTCCTTTTCACAAAATGTTCGTAAATATTTGTGCGGTTCGACTGCGCAACACCGCGCAACACTGCGTGCTGCGTATTTCATTTGTATGTTGAGATGATGGTCACACATTTTGCTTGCAATGAATTACCATGAATATGGTAGAACAATATGCATAATACAAGTACCTACCCGCTAAATAGTTTCAAAAAAATACTAAAGACGGGAATTCCCTAATCCACAAGAATGTATTGAATATCCGCTACTAATATTTTCAAGGCCAAATTTATAATAGGAATTTCCTAATCTTTAAGTATTAAAAACTCATAATTTCTTTACTCCGTATTAAAAATTCATAATTTCTTTACTCCATAATCTATATCTTAATTTTCTCCTTATTTACAATTTGTCATAATATTTCTATTATTCTATGCATACATATTTGCATATTACATACAAAAATAGATAACAGAACTCAAATTTGCGATCGAATTCATTTGAAACCGAGCGCTCTTGCAACCATTCAAAGGATTTGAAAGTGAAAAGGAATGCTGAAAAGGGTAGCAGCGAGCTGTTACGAACAAGAACACAAAGCGTGCCACCCGAACACGAGTGGCACGGTCCCTTCGTCTTTCCTCGTCGTCCCCTCGCCCACAATAAACTGGTATGAGACTCTTTTGCGTCCCTGTCTGAAACGGCACTTAAGAAATTTCCCAACAGCATTCACAATAGTTTGCAGAAATGTCATTCTATCGAAATTGACATTAGAAATATTGCAGTTATACGGAAGTGCCGGTGGATATACTATTTTGTTCATCAATTTACACAAATACAGAAATTTAGAAACAAATTTTTAAATTTTTTAGTAATGCGTGGTTATATAGTAAAATATATGCAATAGAGTGTAAATTTATTGCAATTCTAGCTATTTTTGTGTCAGTTTTGACGCTTTTACTCAACTGTCAAAATTTGCCTATTCAAAATGATGTTAATATATTTCAATTTTAGCTATTGAAAAAATTAAAATTATTATTAATTACTACTCAATTACAGAGCCTCATATTGAGGCTTAAACAATTTGGGAGAAAAATTAGATTTTCAATTTTTAATTGAATTTTGTCAGTCCGGTATTCGTAATTAGAAATTTGAAAATTATTATTTATTAAAATTTTCGGTATACAATATAAAAAACTAATAATTTAAATGTTAATTCAATATTTTTGTTATGCATTGTTTGCAACGCTGCATTAAAAAAACAATTATGCTGCAATTCAAACAATATACATGCATAATTTGCTATAAATAACACAGCAAACATTATAAATATACCAGAAACATACCAGAAATGCGCTCACAATAGTTATTTCCCAATTCAGTAGCGCTCAAACTGTGCATATCCCCTACAGTAGGACACAAAGTTTTCACACTATTTTTAATAATTTTCTATTAGTACCACACTTATGCAAATTTTTGTTTAATTAATACATTATTTAAAAAATAATTTGATAAAATTTATTGGTAATTTCACGCGCTATAAACGTGCACTTACCTTGCATACAGTAACAAGTAAAGCTATTTCTCAACTTCTTGGCGCGGTTTCTGTGACTAGCTTACTTCGTTTCTTTAATACTCCACTTATTTCGTGTTTTGTTTTTTTGTAATTACTAACTAAGTTTCCCTAATACTTTTACGAATTTTTACGTCGAAGACTACGGTTTTATTGCGTTTGCTTTAGTTTCGTACTTTATGCATGCTCTTTTAAGTATTACTTATCACAAATTGGCGGTTGAACAAGTTAACGTTGATTTTGCTGTTGTTGATGCTGCTACTCCTGCAACTACGTTCGCTGACAAGTTGACTTTTTATAAATCAATAAATTCGCAGGCGCACGAAAACACAGTTTTATTCATTGTTTTTGCAATTCCTACGCTCATTTGTCACTTTTCCACAGCATTTACATATTAGGGGTTGGGGAGGCGGTGTAATCAGCAGGAAACTATTAGCTGCTGCGAAAATCCCCACTAAATCCTTTATTTCATGGTATTTCAATGCTTGGTGCTGTAGGGACTTCTCGTTAGGTGGCGCTTCGTTGTCAAAAGGAAGCATGCGCACCTCCAATTTATCGATGACAAATTGTTTGGCATTTAAAAGTGTTGCCAAGTGATGACCTAAAAAGCAACTTCAACAAAAAATGCATGTTAGGATACGGAACTATAGAATATGGGTAAAAAGAAAATTTAAGTTTATAAAAAGGGTATAGCGTTATCGATATATTAAAAACTGCCGCGCCTCAGTTGACCCATTAAAAACTATTTAAACTTTATTTTTATATATGTATAAAGCTACCCCTCTAATCGCTTAAATAAAAATACACCTACATATGTAAATTTCCTCTGCTGCAAAAGCGAAAATTCGCGCCTACCTCATTTAAATGCAAACAACAAAATTTATCGCGCTTCTCTTTATGGCCGCTCAATTTACAACAGTTCAAATTGTACCACTGAATTTGTATAAAAACTAAATGTATGTATGTGCATATGTATGTATATACATTAGGGTGCTACAAAGAAAATAAATTTAAATAATTTGATCTAAAAACATACTCTCCAAAACACTCTTGGTGTTTCAGTTAATATTAATTATGTGTAAATTAAATTAAATTTAAAAAAATAATAATTTTTCCCTTTTCCAATTATACAGAGTGGCTCACGAATCGTGCTACAAAAACAAACCGTCGTAACTTTTTTCTGTGTGAGTATTCGGCTTACTTTGGGCAAGTTTTTTAAAAATGAATGTTTGGGATACCGAAAAGAGGGTTTGGATAGTGCAGCGGTACTATGCTTTGCAGTCCGTCATTTCCGCCTAAAGGGAATTCAGACGGGTTTTTGGCGGAATTCCGCTAAGTAGTTGGACCGTCATGAGGTTGGTATCGCAGGAAGACCGCACCATCCAGATGCGGCTGTTATATCGTCAATTAAGGGAAATCCAAAAGGTTCGACTCGCAACTTATCGGTGTAACTTGGAGTTAGTAGCTGGTCATTACAACGGATAATCTATGATGACTTAAACCTATTTCCGTACAAAGTTCAAATAACAGCTTTAAGCCTTCTAGATTTACCTATTCGCCTAGAATTTTGCTAAAAGGTTATTGAAAAGGCCGAAGGATACAATAACTTGATAAATTTCCCGTTTATGTCTGAATAGACCCATTTTTTCTAAACGGTAAGCATGTATGTAAAAAGGCGTATATGGAGTGTATAAAATCCAGAAATAGTCCACGAGACGGAACTTCACCCAAAACGAGTCACTGTGTGGTACGCAGTTTCATTAAGGTGTATTGGCGGGCCATACTTCTTTGAAGAAAACAGTTTAACAGTAGGCTCAAGAAAGTCCACTTTCCTCTGGTCCCCAATATCACCTGACCTGACCGCACCAGACTTATAAAATAAAAAAAAAGTTGCGATACAATAAAAAAAGTAATGCATTTTTGCATCGAAAAAAAACATTTGAAAGAGAGAAAGGGAGAGTTAAAAAAAAATTAAAAATTGTTTTTTAATCTATATATGTAATCATTTTTTTATACAAATAATATAAGATGAAAAAAAGTTGAAAACAAATTATTTGTAATTTTTTAGAGCGCCCTAATATACAAACATGCTTTTAATACCATACAATTAGCACGTATACATATTTATATATATTTGTTGTTACTTGTCCTCTTTCCTTACATTCGTATTTTGTTGCTGTTGCTTCGCATCTGTGTTTTTGTCTGCCTATATCCAATTCCGGCGCACAATTTCATTTTGCTTGAACGTTAATCTGTAGCTTACTACCTACATACACTTCATTGTATGCACGTAGTATGCGTGTATGTGTATATGCCTGTGTAAACTTTGAGGTCTTTTCTGTGTACCAAAACACTTATCCGGTATCTGGTTTTTCGCTGTGTGGAATTATATTTGTGTTTTTACATATGTAGGTATATATGCTTGTGCATACATATATGTATATATGCGTATATTTATCGCGATAATTATGTGTGTCAAACTAGTTTAGAAATCGATAATTTTTGCATAAGCTTCATGCAAGCCAACTATCGGTTAAATCACTGATTAGTTACCCAATAGCGCTACTAGAAATTTCTGTTAGAGTTTTTATGTGTTTCTTAAGGCCAAATTAATAAAACTAACCTGTAATAACAGGTAGATAAAATAAAAACATGTAGCTTTGAATCCTTTAGTTTGGTATTTTTTGAATTTTCTGAGAAATCTTAACATAGCAATATGTATTTTTTTACACCATCAGAAAATAAAGATTTCAACGACGAAAAACTTCACCGGCCTTTATATAAACGTAGATATTTTGATGTAAGAATTTTCGTTTGAAAATGAGTGTGCTTTTTCGATATTAAGTAAAAATAAGGCGAAAAACTAAATATTTTAGGTCAAAAGCTGACACTGTGTTTAAGATATAAAAAGCTAAGTTTACATCCAATTTTGTGTAAGAAACAATTTTTTTTGTATAAGTTAAAAATAAAAAACCCAAAAATTCGATTACTTTAATATTCCTCATAAAACTTGATGTTATGTGAAAATGAAATATATATATGTCACCTACAACTTAGCCAGTTAATTTTTTGTGATAGAATTTTGAAATTTGTCAGAAATCGAGTTAAACCGTTTTTCACCTTTAAAACCTAAAACACTTCCCCCCTTGCCACTTCTCGACCTTAGATCGCCCGTAATTTATTTTTCGTGTAATTTTTGTTATATTATTTTTCATTTTCAATTCATCCAATTATTATATTTTTCACTTTTAAATATTTTCAAAGGCTTCAGCCCTGATCTAATAAACAAAAATCAAATATTCGTGTCACTTATGGGCTTTTTAGTTTTAAATATTTCTCAATATGCACTACTGTGCAAAACTACTTTAGATACAATCATAAACACACACAATCATAATGCATTCATGCTTTACAAACTGGTTATAGGGTTTCTCAGGCTATTGATATTCCCACTCGTTGCTTCTATCGTGCCGTGTTTTCCAACTTCAGCCGCTTCGCATGCAAGCATATGTTGCACACATGCATAAGTATGGAAATTCAACTTTGTCTACACGTACACACCCTGTTTGCGATAACCATCGACTTAGTATATTTATATGTATGGTATAACACAATAAAACACTGTATAGCTTACATAGTCACTTTACTTGCCTGTCGAGTGATTTTTATCGTATACTGTATTTATTGTGTGGCATAGAAAATATATTCGCTCTTCTCAGGTATTCACATTTATATGTTTGTATATATTTATATGTAGTATAGTGAGCGACTTCTATATTTGCTTTATATAAATTTTTCTCACTCATATTTCATTTGCTTGCAGTATATAGTTATTATATACATATAATATATATTTATATATTAGTATTTGTGCCTGTATAGCGTTCGCTACGGGCTGGGTTCGTTTCGTTTGAATTCGTGCGCATTCGTCTTAGCCGTAACGCTATCACATTGCTTACTTGCTTAACTACTACATATCGAGGCAAGCAAACGAATTTCTATGAAAACTAATGAACAATTATTCTTGTTTCCGTTTGTGTTCGCCGTCGTTAGTCATTTGAAATGCGTATTAGTCATCGTATGACTTGCCAAATGGTTTGGCACTTAAATAAATATTGTAAAATATCTACCTACATGTGCATATGTTTCAGTTATATAGTTGCGTTCAGCATTTCTATCGCGCATACGAACCTCCCGGGCGACTTTAATCGTGTACAAAAACCATTGCATGAGAAATACATAAGCACGTAGTCTACATATAGTTATATATGTACATATCTACTTTGTGCCTAGGTTTGTGTTTCTAAAGCCATATATATGCATAGGTACATATGTATGTATGTACCCACTAGCAATTTCAAACTGCACTGTCGTTGCCTTTCAAGTGTTGGGTAAACGACATTAATCGTGACATTGTGTTTAATTGCATACAATTTCATTTAAGGTTGTGTATAAGTATTTGAGCCAATGTGCGCTATTCTCAAGTGAATACCCATATCCATCGTGTTATCGATTTTAGTTTTAGTTGGGGTTGTGCGCATACTCAAACAAATTTGCAAAAAGTTAGCGCTAAGTAGAAGTGTCGACTACATCTGGTCGGACTGAGTGGGGTGTACGGATGTTGCACTATTGGGCTTATAAATTGTAGGTGTTTACGTCATTGATTCATTTGAGGTCTGTCGTCTGTGAAGAATTGAGTTATAAAATAATATGATATAATTAAGGACAAAGCTGTGAAAATGTAATACGTAGAAATATACATATGTATGTATGTATGTATCTACGTATTTGTATTTTGATATACATATGTATGTACATATTCAATAATTACAATCGATATTATTTTCTCTTCATTAAGCAGTGATGTATATCAATCAATCTTATATTATAAGGCGTTAGAAAGATAAGATTTCGTATAAAAAAAGTTTTTAAGATGTGGCTAAACTCAGAATTGTTTGAGCAGGCGTCAAAGGCGAAAACACAAGGCAGGCGGAAAATGTGGAAAGTATTTATAGGTTTGATACTGTAACAGCCAATGACGCGCTATTTTGGTTTCGTCGATTGCGTTTCGGGAATTTCGATATGGACCGAATTTCCATTTGTGAATCGCAACCAAATCGTTCCATTTCTCAAGCGAATAGTTGCTGGTGAGAAAAAGTAGGCCACTTGCGACAACGTCAAGCGTAAGAGGACCTGTTCGAATCATTATGAACCGACGCAAACGGTCATCCATGCAAACGGTCATCCATGCAAACGGTTCACGAGCCAGGATTGACAGCCAGAAAGTTTATGCTAAGGTTTAATGGGATTGGCAGGAAATCATCTACTTTGAGCTGATCTCCTACGACCAAATTCTCAATTCGGAACTGTAGTCTAAACAATTGGACCGTTTGAAAGAAGACATTGTCCAGAAGCAGCCGGCTTTGGCCAATAGGAAAATTGTGTTCTATCAGGACAACGCCAGGCCACACACTTTGATAGCGACTCGCCAGAAGCTTTGAGAGCTTGGTTGGGAGCTTCTTGTGCATTCACCTTATAGTTCGGACCATGCATCAAGTGATTACTACCTGTTCCTGTCAATGGCTAATGATTTTATGAAAATTCGCCTCAAGAGAAATTTCTGAAAATCGACTGTTCCAGTTTTTTTGCCAATAGAGACGAGGGCTTATATAAGAGTGGCATTATGACAGTACCTTTCAAATTGCAAAAAATTATCGTACCAAACGTTGCATATTTTACCTAAATCGGATAACTTTAATTAAACTAAATAAAATTTTCAATGCAAAAACAAGAAAAACCATTAACTTCAATTATACAAAAACTTGATTTAGTTCGCTAAGTTTGTATGGCAGATATATGCTATAGTGGTCCGACATCGGCGATTGCGTCAAATTAGCAGCTCTTTGGGGAGAAAAAAACTTGTGCAAAATTTCAGAAAGATATCTCAATAAGTGAGGAACTAGACTTTGCTAAATCGACTCGCTGATCATTTATGTATGTGTGTACATACATACAAGTACATACATATGTGCGATATATATTTTATAAGGTCTCTGACGGTTTTTTTTAGTGTTACAAACTTCTTTTCAAACTTAATATATACTGTTCTGGATATAATAATAAAACAAGTCATAGAGTAGCCTTCAAAATAATTTTATAATATACACATGTATGTACATATGCATACATATGTCCAAAAATATTGTTGTTTTAGTTTTTTCCCTCTTTTGCCCTTTGCTGGACATTTTGGTATGAACTGAAACTTGGACTTTACGCAAGTCAGCTTAAATTTAATCGCCTTAGCATTATATATTTCTATTACACACATACATACATATGTACATATATACTTACGTACGTACATTGTATGCAAGTACCAACAATTTCAAATCCAACGCCCATTAAAAGAGCATTGCATGCATTTCCGTTTCCAACTGTCCACGGCATGCCAGGAAATTCACACACACACGTACACCAGAATTTCGTGTTTAAAAAGCCATCAACGTAGATTGAGTCAACCAAAATAAGATTGAAACGCTAAAAGAGGCGAAAAATAACAAAGTGATAGCGAACAACTGCCAACAATGTGCAATAAAACAAAATTTGCCCCACCTACGGCAACATTTTTAAACAAGTTTTTACCCGCCTGCCACAACATTGGTACATATAAATACATCTTTTGATGTGCCGGTAAATTATCCCCCACTTTTCAGACACCGAAATTGGCGCCAATCGGTCAAAAGCGCGAGCAAGTAAACAAAAGCGTAACAAATAAGAAGCAGCAAATCAAAAAAACAGCAAAACCATTCGTTGATTGCTGTCAACCCAATAAAAAGTGTTTGGATTTCGCACAGCGTGTGGCGGCGGGTCAGGTGCTGCGACTGCTGTGATTTGTTTTGATAGTGGTTTTTAGGTGAATTTCTTAACGATTTCGCGCCACCACCACAGAAGGAAAATAAATAAGCACCACGAAAATAGAAAAAAAATACAGAGGCATTTGCGGAGCAATGAAAATCAGCTGTGCAGCGCAATCTTTGTTTTGTTTGAGATTTGCTTTGCTACGATTTTTTGTTTTTGTTGTTACGTTGTGTACCAAAACATCAATAGACGCATCAAGTATTTAGAAACGGGCTGATAACAACACTAATATGCATAATTTACACGGCGAAGGGGAGATATAGCGACCGGCGTTTGTGGCGCGCATAAAGCAAGATGCGATAAGGGTTATTTTGGCGCTTAAGTACTGTTAGAGTAACAATTTTGGAATTTGTAAAACTTGGTATTTCATAATTTATATTATATATTATATTTAATTTTTGTTTTGGTAAAACTTGAGAGAAGAGCGTATAACGTTTATGCGGAAGCTTGAAATCTTGCTAATGACTAATTTTCTAGAAATTAAACAAATTTAAAATAGACTCTAAAAAAGTTCATTATAATATTACAAGCAATGTTATGTCTAAAGCTGCAGTATTTGTTTGCCACTTTCGGTATAATTATGCAGACGCCCATAAAACCCATAAATGAAGATTTTTAATATTGCTCCTTACATAAATGTTACATACATATATTATTATATAAATACATATATGTATTTTATGTACTATATTTACATACTTTTTTTTACATTATTTCAATATATTTTGATACATTTTACATATTTTTGCATTACCTTACATTATGCGCCGCTAGCATGTGCAATCGAAATTTCATACATCTGTACAATAAATTATGCATTATGCAATTCAGATTTATTTTTCAAAACACAGCATTTTCTGCCATTTGCCGGTATTTTTAACCACAAATTCAGCACAGAAGCAGCTTTTGACTATGCTGCCCACCACTAAATCCCCCATAGCTGTCGCAAGCAGCCCGTTTGGCTCTCGCATCGACCTGCTTTACAACGAGCCGCTGTCAATTGTCAAGTGTAAACGTAAACTGCCGTTGTTGTGCATCAAACGTAACAACAATGCAACAAGGTAAATAAAAGAAATAGAAAGCAAAGCAATAATAAAAATCAAAAACAACGCACAGTGTGCATTAAACCGCACAATGCTTGTTCTATCAACCAGCAGCAACAAAATTCAAATACGCAAATGTTGTTAGTGTTTTCAATTATGCTATAACAGTATCCATTGCAATTCTATGCGTTCCAACTAGAAGCAATTTTCATGAGCGTTAAACAAAAATAGTTACTACTACTACTTTAATATATTTCTTACAAATGGCAAATAATCTTTCAGTTAAATAAATGGTAAAATTAAATAAAAATAAAAGTTTGTGTATTGATTAACACCTAACTGCTTTTAAGGCCAAGCAAGCATTTCATTCTATAAATGTGTTACGTTTAGGCAGCGTATACGTGAATGTAGAATATTTTGTTCAATATTTTCTTGAAAATAATCTACGATAAACATTTTAATTTTTTTTTTTATAAAAATAATCTATGATAAAGTTTTTAATTTAATAATATACCAGCTTGTTAATTATCTTATCGAAATATGTCTCTATATACAATTTTTTCCTAACAGTTGTGCCCACAGTACAATTACAAGCATACAGTCTGAAATCAAATTGCCCGCTTGCCATGAACAAAGTGGAAAAAAATTCCTCATATATAAAGTAAAAAAATATACAAACAAAATATTACAAACGCAGCCATAAAACAACAACTATATATACGTACCTATATACATATATAGACGAAGCAAAACTGTGAGTTTCACAGTGGTGAAACCACTGCGAAGGAGCACACAAAAAGGGGAAGCAAGAATAAACGAGTAAGCAAGAAATGGGGGAAAATATGCAATGCATATAGGGTGCCAATATATTAATTAAATATGATAAAAACTGTATATAGTCACAAAGACATATATAACTTGAAAATATACTTAACTAATCAAATTACAGTAATATTAGTGCATAATGCCAACTGTCCCAAACTCTTATTTCTTACTTAACTATAACTTTCTTTACGGCCTCATTAATTGTCATAAGTGCAATTATTTACGGTTGTACACCCTGTAATACATAATCTCAAATAATAGGAACTAAAATGTATATAGCACACAAGCAAGCATTGAAGCAGACTGGCGACAAGCAAGCAATCAACAACGGGTATTACAGATAGCTCTTGTGCAAATGAGCGCTGTATGGGGTAGCAATAAGGCGTAAATTGTGTGAGTGTGAGCGAGCCCGCAATATGAAACTTTTGTAATGTAAATGGATAGTGGAAAGTATGGAGGAGACGAAGCGATACAACGACGGCGTTTGCCAAACGAGTGACGATAGTTGAAGTAAAAGGTTGTAAAATGACATTTCAACCGTTTCGGTGATCAAAGAAAATTGATTAACGCGCCAAAAGCAGCAAAAAATATAATTGAAGTGCAAAGAAATGTCAGTAGGAAGTGCAACACTGCACCCAAGTGTCAAATTTGAAGCTAAAAACCAATTAGACTAAATAGTACAAATTTATTTAGAAGGCCAAAAAAAATTATTTTATAAATACATATTTAAAAGTGTAGAGAAATCCAAGAGAAATATTTGTATAAAAATCTCTATACAATAGAGAATATATTGTATGAAAAAGAGAAATCCAAATACATCTACAACGAATAAAACGAACATTTTATATACGACAAGCGTATATAAGCGTTCGGAATTCAGTGGAAGTGGCATGTGAAATATAAAAAACAGGTACAAGGCAAACGATAGCAACAACAAAAGCGAAACGCAATAACACAGGGTTGTATGTGTGCATATAATAAAATAACGTAGCCCAACACAGTTCACCACACTACAGGTAGTAGTGGTAGACAGAGAGAGTAAAGTCTATATACAATATTTATGTTATATGTGTGCATCATCTCGCTTTGGCCTTGTTTGACAGTTCGTTATTTGACTTGGGCACAGTCGTCTCTGTGTAATATTGCTAGCTAGCTAGCTGTAGCGAATTAAGTGAATATTTTCAATTTATATGGAGCTGTTTAAGAAAAGTTGACAACGTTGTAAAATGTTTTTAACCTGATATTTCACAATTTAAAAAGTTTGTGAATTGTACCCAAGCAAACAGTGAGGTTCTAAATAGACGCTCATATAAGAAACATTTAAACCGTTTGCAAAAGCTATCTCTAATCCAGCACATACGGTCGCGCAAGAGTTGCTAAATATGTGAGAAGTTTTTGGTTTGTGTAGAGCAATCGTTTAATTTAACCAACGCGAACAGTGACGAAAGAAATATTCTTTCCTACGACTTCATTGTCAAAATCAATACAAACAGAAATAAAATTTTATAATTGAACAAAATTTCTCTAGACGTGTAAAAAAATTAATTTCATACTAATAAAAGAGGCAACCAACAACAACGAAAGCAAAGGAGTGACAACGAATATAGGGAAAAGCAGAAGAAAAAAAAAACTTAAGTAAATAACAGAAGGAAAATTATCAAAACTGAAAACAGACAGAAAGTTGTGAAAATAGTGCTGTAAATAAATATTTTGCTGTGGCGAAGAAGCAGACATTTAATTAAATTGTACGAAAGTAAAACTAAAGTAAATTTATATACTCACACAAATACATGTTATATGCGACGTACCAGTTGTGTAGAATTGTCCATCTCTTTCTCTGCAATCGCGAACAGTGGATGATGTGCCTGCGCTCCAGCTGTCATGTATTAAATCCACCAATAAATTACATACGAACGGAAACCCTGACGGCAGTGGCTGCAACAACTGACGAGTGCAAATGTCAAGCTGATTTTATAACAACCGAAACAGCAACAAGAATAACATAAACAGCAACATCCAAAGCACACAGCAACAACAAAAAATATAGTTGCAGCAACCACGAAAACAATAAAAAATTAACAAATGTCAAAATGTTGCAACAAGAGCATCGCCAAATAAGCCATGGCAAAAGTATGCATCATCTAACATTGCCTACAAATTACAAACAAACAATGAACAATTTGATCAAAGCTAAGAACAACAATTCTACAACATTGACTCCGGTCAGCACAACAACACTTGACTCAAGTAATCGCATTCAGGAGCAACTGCAACAAACGGCGAACACAAGCGTAAATTACACAAATAATATGATGGGTTCAACTGCCACAGCAGCAACACCACCCACACAACCCACACAGAGTGTTCGCAATTACGGTAGCAACAACACATCACCTTCAACAATGGGTGTCAATTTACGCGTTACTGGCCAATGCAGCCAGGGTGGACGTAAATATATGGAAGATTACTTCTCGGTTGCCTATCAACAGTCGGAGAATGCCAAGGATCTTGAATATGCATTTATTGGCATTTACGATGGCCATGGTGGCGCCGAGGCAGCTACATTTGCCAAAGAGCATCTTATGATGCAGATTATCAATCAGAAGGCTTTCTGGTCGGAATCGGATCATGATGTATTAAGAGCAATACGCGAAGGTTATATTGCCACACACTATGCGATGTGGCGGGATCAAGGTATTTAAACCAAAATATCCTATTCAAATGTAGTTGATCTCTGTGGATGTAAAATTCTATCAGATTACTTTTGATAACACTAGATTATTACATTCCATTAATAATATTCGAATTTTGTCTTGAGTAAAATAATTAATACCTGCAAAGGATAATAAAACAAGAAAAAACGTTAACTTCGGTTGTACCGAATTTATATTATCCTTCATAAATAAAAAAGTTTCAATAGAAGAACTTGTTTTTGCTTGGTCAGTTTGTATGACAGCTATATGCTTTAGTGATCCGATCAGAACAATATGTTCGGATATTTTGCTGTTGCGTTGCACAATAATCTATGCAAAATTTCATGAAGATATCTTGTCAAATAAAAAAGTTTTCCATATTATAAAGTCTCCGATGTTTTCTCCTGTGTGTTACAAACTTCGTGACAAACTAAACAAACATTGGACAAAAACAGCTAGAAAATAATCCTTTATTTCTCCTATTTTCATATCACTATAAAAATATGTATTCATCAAAATTAAAATTAAATACTATTAAGTAGAAAGATTTTGTGAAGTAGCAATCCCCCAGATATATTTTTTATTTTGCACATTGGCTTTCAAATCGTATAGTGAATTTCACCACTATGTGTGCTGTGCCTACAGTAAATAACCTTAATTTGTAGCGATTTAAATATAATTTTTCCCCCTATCGTTTACTTAACATACTGTGCACCAAGGAAAAGTGTACTAGGCACGACGAAATCCACAGTGGAATATTCCACACACAAACTGAAAGCACCGAAAATGTATAGAAACAAGCAACTGCAAAAGTGAAGTATTATACAAGTATATAAAATGTTCATTGTAGAAGTAGCATGACAACACTGATATACATAGTCAAGAGAAATGGGAGCGACTCGTATGTCGATAAAAATTTTGTGGTATGTGTGTTTGCGATGAAGGCATTGTAGCTGTGGTGACTTTACTTATATAAAATGTATTTTGTTGTTGCCCTTGCAATGTGTCAAAACGAGTAAAATGGTGGTGTGTTTTATATATATATATATATAAATAATACTGTGGTATATATATGTATACGCTGTAAGGAATTTTTAAATGGTGGAATGATGGCAAGTACAGTGTTGCCTAGCTGAGGTATAAATGCGTGGTGGTTTATTGTGGTAGGCGACAGATGTAGTGGTGTGTGGGTAGTAAATAGCAGGAAGTAAATCGTGCGCTTATAACTACGGAGTGAAATCTTTTGAAACAATTTTTCTATTGCAATCGATTAAATCTTATTTGAGAATATGTAACGCACTTTCTTTATATTCACAAACGTTGAACATTGTTTGTAGGCACTTTTTATTTATAAAAGTTGAATATTGTTTGCACGTTCTCTTTATTTTTCTATTCAACATTTTGCATGGTACATTTTTTATGTTATTCAATCAATTTTATATTACGTATGCTTTAAACTTGCTCATAGCTATTTAAAACTTTATTTGAAACTTATTAAAACGTACAACCTAAACTTATAGATAAAGCATAAATATACAAACATATATTAATTTATAAGAAAACGTTAATTGAATTTGCAACTTTTGTTGTAAGTTTTCCCCCCCACTCTTTTCCAAATGCAACTCTGTATGCTATAATTCACCTTTATCTCCGCTATTCAAATATACTGTTAACCAGCCATTCACCCGTGGCCTTAATACATAGCCCACTCTGTGGTGTTAATTAGATTACTCACCTTTCAAATAAACACCGCGTTTATCAAGCAGATTTTGACATTTGTAATCGCACTTAAATTTTCATGTTTTCTTTACATACATTATCGAATTGGTCTCACGCTATTTGTCACGCTTGCTCACTCTGCATTTTTGATTATAATCTTATGAACGTTGCTTTCGCATTAGCCTTTAAACATCGAGTTTACAGGAGTAGAGTAAATAGTAAAACACTTGTTTTTTTTTTTTGACATTTTGTTGATGTTAAGGCGCGGATGTAAACAAAAAAGTCACCGCTTGTGTTATGGAATGTCAAAGGTATTTGCAGGGGGTGGTGAGGTGTAGATTTGTTTTCTTTTACAATTTTTGTTTTGTTTACTTATTCTTTAGGCTATTAGCAAAATGTAAAATTAATACTGTATTAAAAGTTTCACTGAAACATGCATGCGCTTTAAAGTATACAATATTAGTTAAGCACTTATTTTCAATGCTAATGTTTTTATCTTTTTGGTTTTTTCAGAAAATTGGCCCAAAACCGCAAATGGCTTGTTGAGTACAGCCGGCACTACCGCCACAATCGCCTTCATACGTCGTGAGAAGATATATATTGGCCATGTTGGTGATTCGGGTATTGTGCTCGGCTATCAGAATGAGGGTGAGAAATTTTGGCGTGCTCGACAGTTGACTGTTGATCATAAGCCTGAATCGACGGAGGAACGTGCACGTATACAACGCTCTGGTGGTAAAGTGGTAGTCAAATCAGGTGTACCGCGTGTCGTTTGGAATCGGCCGCGTAATGGTAAGCTTGCATGCATATACATACATAAAAAAAGAATTCTAATGCTAATGCTAAATAATAATTTTTTATATAGCAGGTCATAGAGGTCCAATTCGTTGCAACACACCCGTCGATGAAGTACCGTTTTTGGCTGTGGCGCGTAGTCTCGGTGATTTGTGGAGTTATAATTCCAAACGTAATGTATTTGTGGTTAGTCCAGATCCAGATGTACAAGTGATCAAAATAAATCCAAAGACTTTTAGGTAAGTTGGTCGTATTATTAGGTATATTATAAAGCGCTGTATATATTTTTTTTATATAAATTATTTTTTTTTTACACTAATATGGTTTTTTTTTTTTACTCTTCTAGATGCTTAATTTTTGGCACGGACGGTCTATGGAATGTTGTAACACCACAAGAGGCTGTCGACACCGTCTACGAAAGAGAGTGCATTAATGAGCGTCTACAAGCATATACAAATGCCGACAGTGGCAATAACGAATGGACGAATCCCAGTAAAAGTTTAGTAGAGCGTGCTTTGAAAACGTGGTCGTCAAAAAAGATGCGTGCTGATAACACTTCGGTAGTCACTGTCATACTGTATCCATCTGCCAATGACACAACGAATACTAACTGCGTGGCTCCCAACACGCTCTCGTACAATAGCTTGCCAAAGGATAGTTGTGGTCTCGAATATACGGAGGTATGCGCTGAAGTTCCCGCACCTGAAAGTTATGGCATTTCTTTCGAGGAAATCGCAGAGAAACATACAATGCCTGAAGCCTTCCGCAATTTTGATTATTTGCTCGATGAAGAAGCTATAAATGCTTCACTGCAAATGCAGCATGAAGAGAATTGCGAGCGTAAATATTGTAGTGAAGAACTGTCATATTGGAATAACTGGAGTTGGGAAGAGCGTCAATCGGATTGTGCTGGTGATTATAATCATCAAGTGTCGACTTTGGCCACAAGTAGCGATGTAAGCATTTGTAGTAAGGCCATAGCAAGTCACAACACGCTGTGCAATACTAACGGTACCATAACAGGTGATAACGATGAAAATGCCGTAGATGGCGTACACGCGGGTTGTGTTAATGACAATGCCGAATGCGAATCAGCTGTTTTGAAATACGCACATTACAGCGCTGATGCGTCAAATGCGTCGAGTGATGTCAGTAATGAATTGGGCAATGCCGGTTTCATGACTTTCGCTGAATCGTACAATTCATTTTTGAATGAACATATGTCACATGACAGCACCAACAGCTCTAATTCCAATTCGAATTGTCAAATCATTAGCGGTACGAGTGAGATATTACAAGAACAACAGTTGTATCAACAGCAGTGCATGTCCGAGGAGGAAGGTTATTCGCTAACCAAATTGGAAACGCGTCGCGAGCAACAACGCTGCACCAGTGGTGTACAAACATTTAAAATTTTCCAAACACTTGACACAAGCGGCACCAGCTACGTGCCGCAACGCGTAGAACAACAAGAAAGCAACGTTCAGCGTGTGGTTGAGCAAACGTCACGAGAAAATGCAAACTTGCAGCTTCAAACCACTGCCACAGCGCAACTCACAGTTGAGGAAACGCGCGAACTGGAGGCTGCGCTGACCTGGGAACCGCCGGAATGTGCGCCACTGGGTCCAACAATCACTCAGTTTCTCACTTATCCAGCTGAACATCAAAAGCCGTTGGAGCTAAATTCGCTGCTTCAGCAAGAACGCGAGGTAGAGCAGCAAGTCGCCTATGAGCGACTCGAAATGCAGCAACGCCTGGCACAAGCAAATGTGATTAAGTTAGCGGCGGCTCACGCTGAACGCACGGATTGTAAAGCTGAAGCTGAACAGCCTGCCACTTTGCCTATTGAAGAAATTGAGGACGTGTTGGTTGAGGAGTACATTGAGGAAGACGACGCCGAAAGCGTAGAACTACAACTAACGGAAGCGTCAAATACGGCACACAAAGATGCAAGAGTACAAATCAACGAGATATCGTCTAGCATGTCGGAGCAGACGGATTGCGATAGCAGTATCAGCAGCAGTGACAGTGAAATGTTAGCATCCGTTGCCGCTATGCCATGCCAAAAAATGCAAATTATTGAGAAAATCGAAAAGATTGAAATACTGCCACAGAAATTGCCAACGAAATTGGAACGTTTATCCAACCATACGGTGTTGACAACACAGAAAACACCACGCCACACACAGTACAAGAAGTCTGCAGGCAACGCAGCAGTTGTTTGTACAACCTCAACTCCGGCGGCAAGCCATAAGCCAAGTGAAAAGGTCAAAGTTACGACATACGACTTCACCTCACGTCCACCCAAAGCATGTCCTGCGCGCACGTCGCTCAAGCGCTCACAGACGCAATTCCCCAATATACCAAACGAGAATGCACGCGCCGCAAGTGAGTCGACATCATCGCATGCGCTCAGCAAACGGCGACGCTATGACGCCTACAACGACTATGTGCTGGGCGCGGTTAGCAGTACGAGCAATAAAACCGTTATGAACGTCGCTAACACAAACAGCAATAGCAACAATTGTCGCAATCGGCGCTGTAACAGTAACGCCTCCATGGTGCATTCGGGTAGCACCAACTGTGGCACTATCGCCTTGGAAAAACGCCAACTGCGCAGCAACAGCGGCGTCGTGGACTACGCCAAGCGTACCTTACGCACACGCAACTCGCTCAGCAAAGACCTAAAAGCAAAAGCATCACTAACCTCCACCATGCGTCGTGTGACCTCACAATTCTTGCACGAGACTGCCGTCAGTCTTATGAGCAGCAGCTCAGCGCTGGCGCAACAGCGCCAACAACAACGCAGCTCAAATGCAGGCGCTAACAGCGGCATGGCGTTGAATAGAAACGGCAGTGGCACGAACAACCATAGTTGCAGTAGCAGCAGCAGTGTTGGACGCCGTGCACGTGCCGAAAAACTCTTAACGACAAGCACGGACAATTTGGAGGCTGCCTTCTCGCACGTCATCAATTTGCGTTCCCGCAAAGTGGCACATTTCGCTGTGGCTGCAGCAGCAGCGGCGGTGGCAGTCAATCACACACAGACGACGCGACGCGCGAAAGGCGTTGTCGGCAACAGTCCACTGCTCACCACATCCGCGTCTACAGTGCTGCGACGCGAACGCCACAATTTGCGCAGCTTAAGCACGCGCAATGCTGCCAGTCCGCCGGGTTTGATGTCTGCCAACGGGCAACGCGATTATGCTTATGGCAAGACCCAAACGCGCAGCGGTTTGCATGCAACCGGCATCTGCGCATACAGCTTGACGTCCAGCGCGGCGCCCACGTCTAAATTGCTCAATGGCGCAGCGGGTGTGAATGCGGCGACACGGCCGCGCACACACGCGCTGCTTCTGGCAAAACAGTCGGTGGGCGCTGGTGGTTCTGTGCCAGCGAGCGGTATGTTGGGCGTACGTGGCGGCGGCAGCGCCACAAGCTCGTTGACAACGCCCACCTCCTATGGCAAGCGCACGACAGCGCTGCGTAGTGGCGCGGTGGGTAGCGGCAGCGCAGGCACGATTATGCTGACGCGTAGTGGCGGACGCAATGGTAGAAGACTGAATCGTTAAATTTTGTGGGCGGACACCATTCGATATGTGCGGCGCGTTGGCTGCGCGCGCTGATAGTGAAGTTATTAGTACAAAAATGCCTGAAAGCATGCTAGACGCTTACGATTTTGTTTGTTAAGGTTTACAAATGTAACAAAAAAAAAACAAAAAAGAAGTGAAGAATCTTGAACATTGCAATATATGTTTGTGCTTAAACTGGCACTTATCGGCGCAAAACTGTGGAAAGCAAAGTAAAAAATATTTTTTCTGTAAATCAAATCGTTATGTTGGTTTCCTCTGTTTTTAATTATTATACCGCAAATTTTTCGCTTACTTGAAACTTACAGAAAAACGTTTTGAAAAAAAGCAAAAATGTGAAGCAAATGCAATATTTATTAGTAATAATATGTTAATATAGTAGGTCTATGCATTATTGACCTCAATTTTTATGGTTCGAAATAAAGCAATGGGGAAATTCGTAAATTGTGTGTAATGGTGAAATAGTCTTCACTGTGCAATTGACAAATAAACACTATAAATATATGAACATTTCCTCTCAACGCTCAGATTCTCACGTAAATGAAAAGTATTTGTATTAGGCGCTAAGCTTTAATTAAAACATAACACATTAACTATTGTTTATATGCTATAAATTGTAAAAGATGCTACTAGCGTTAAGCATTAATTATAGGCATTTAGTTTTTTATATTCGCATAATACATACATACATATAGGTAATAATTTAGTTAATGAAAGATATTTGTTTGTAAGCGCGCCATTGACATTAACATTAACATAAACATTAAATAGCAGTAATATTTATTTAACTATAATTAAAGGCATTATAAATTTGTTGGAATAATGCAAAAACAAAAATGAACAAAAATTAAGCGTTTAATTAAGCAAACTGAAACTCAAACAATTTATATTTACTTACATACATATAATATATTTCTTCATACATTAGTTTAGTTTTTATTTAAACGTAATCTTTTCGTTTGCATTATGAAAAGTACCTCTTTAACTGCTAATCATTTGAAATATTTTATTTTGAAAACTATATTTTTATTTAATTTAAAAAATATATTTATTTGCTGCTACGCCTATTTGTCGTGAACACGTTGTTTTTCACACACTTGTAATACAATTTGAATTATTTTTCATTTTGCTTATGTTAGCTTATTCATTTTACTTTTCGTACAATATTTTTTACATTTTGTTTTATTTAATTGATGTGCCACAAAATTAATTAAATAAAAAATTGAATATGAATATCCATCATTTTTTTTTAATTTTTATTTGGAAAATACTTCTTTTAGTGCTTAAAGCATAAAAGTTACAGTTTTAAATTTGTTTTTTTTTTGAATTAAAATAATAAATAGGCATAAAACAAAATGTACATTTTTTTTAATGGTTCGGTTTTTTTTTTACATAATGACAAATGAATAAATTTTCAATTACAATATTTCTTCATATTTTTAAAAAAATTTTCCATAATTTTTCTTATATCCTTTTAAAATACGTTTTCATTATATTAAAAAATATTTTTTTTTATTGTTTAAAAATATTTTTTTTTATTGTTTAAAAATATTTTTTTTTTATTGTTAAAAAATTGTTTTTTTTATTGTTAAAAAATATTTTTTTTAATACAAGTATCATTAAAAAATATTTTTTTAAATATAATTTAAAAACATTTTTTTTTAAAATTTTTTTAATATTTATTTTAGGTTTAATTTTTTTTTTTAATTATTATTTAAAATGTTTTTTTTGAATGCTTATGTAAAATTTTATTTTCTTTTTAATATTTATTTAAAATTTTTTTTTTAATATTTATTTTAATTTTTTTTTTAATATTTATTTTAAATTCAAATTTTTTAAAAATATTTTTGCATATGTTTTTTACATATGTTATTTATTCATAATTTTATTTTTTATATTTCAACATATTTTATATTCTTTTAAAATATTTTATATTCATTCAAAATATTTTAATTCA